ATTGGGTCCCGTTGTGGCACTGATTTAGAATGTATGCAACTTAACAGATCGAAACTTCCCAGTTCAGGGCTGCTTTTCCTATTTCTTATTATCTTTTACTATTTATTGCTATAATTCATTAGATTTTTTTATCGCATTTCACCACTTGGACTAGTTATTATAAATTATCATAATCTATTTTATAATTTTAATTGAATAGCCCCAGATTCTTTAGATTTCAAGAAAAGTCAGTAAGACGAGGCAACTCTATTAATGATCTGTACATCAGCGTATCTTCAAAACTATAAAATTTACCTGGTACCATCGGTACTGGCTTGCTCGCGTGAGGTGCCATCCATTGTCGCATGAATAAAATACTAGCTGCACAATGCCTTGGTTAATTAGGTATTCGAAAAAGTAAACCAACATCAGTGGTATCATAAATCGTAGCAATGACTAAAATTTTTCATTTTTAAATTCAGAGATTCTGAGTTTTCAAAAGGTTGCTACAGTATTTGATTGACAGCCACGTCGCGTTCGAAGAATTTGCTGTGGTCGTTGCTGCTTCATCTAGCGGCCAGTATTAGCAAGTTATAACATATTTCCATTTGATTTTTAGAGAAATGTGCAAATGGAAACAGTCACTCATTTTTCAGTCATTCAAAAATCAAAAACTGAACTTACAGCAGTGGTCAGCAGCATTTCTTTGAATGACATTTTACGCTGTCTCACCATTCCCGACTTGGTCAGTGCATATCCCTCGCCGTTCTGTATTGATGTTTTGAAACCGCTGTCGTCGCTTTTACTGACTGAAACTGTCAAGCTCGTTTCGGGAACAATCCAGGTTCTAGGATGCAGCAGTCTTGCTTGATGTATCGATTCTGGTACCACCAGCAAAAACCAGTATCTGTAACGTACAATTAAAATAACTTTTAAACACTAATCTTGTAGGAAAAACATGAATTTTGGAGAATTTTGGGGCAACAGTGCCAGATTTTTTATGATATTTTGAATAGTAAGTGTGAAACTTTCGATCGGAACGGGGAAACTGTTGTGGGTTAACATTCTTTTCAGGAAACAAACAAATTTTTGTCAGGATCATCAACAGGCTACTACCAGAAGATGCAGCACTGGTCAAAGAAATTTGAGAAGCATTCTGCACAGCTGGAGAACTAAACTATGGATTGCAGCGGGTACTTAATTTCTCAAATTTTAGCCCGCTTTTTTTGAAGCGTCAAAAAACTTACGTTGCAGCAAAAACCACTGGTACAACAAGCATGACGAGAAGTGTTACTTTTGGTGACAAATTTGCAAAATGTGGCTCTGTTAAGACCGCATATACTAAGGCTCCAATTATGCCAGCTCCTCCAGTGCCTGATGACCATGTTGATATCGTATTCCTGCAATGTATAACATTTTTCAAATTTTTCAGATTTTTTAAAATTTTCGAGTTTTTCCGATTTT